TGCCTGGGGGCTTGTTTGAGGCCATATAGTGCTTTCTTTAGGAGGCAAACGTGATTCGGATGACTGGGATCCTCAAATCCTTTTGGCTGCCTCATATACACTGTTTCGTGAATGTCGCCATGAAGAAATGCGTTCTCTACTTCTAGTTGATGGATTTTCCAAGCGTGATGAAGAGCAACCATGAACAGAACGCGGATAGTGGGAAGTTTTGCCACGGGACTGAATGTTTCACCGTAGTCCAGGCCGTATTCTTGCCGGTTTCCCTGAGCAACCAGTCTTGCCTTGAACCTAGCCACACTGCCATCGGCGTGAAGTTTCGTTCGATACATCCATTTACACCCCAAGATTTGCTTGTTTACGGGAGCAGGAACCAGTTGCCAGATTTCCTGTTTTTGGAGCGCAAGGAATTCGGCTGCCATGGCATTGCGCCATTCAAGTAGTTTGTTGGCAGCATTGTAGCTTGTGGGATCCGGCGTAGAGTTCGTGGTGTGAAGTAGATTTAGGCGATTGTAGGTTTGAGGGAACCAGTCTGAGTGCGAGTGATCATCGGATGCCGGGCAGCAGGATGATTTTGTGAATTTTGATCAATTTGTGCCGGAGTGTTTATAGACGTAGCTCCAGTGTGAGAGAGAGATGGTGCTGCAGAGGTTGGGACAGAATGCGGAACATATGCTTGTTCCTTGGTGTTGCTTCTTAAAGGGACCTGCGAGATAAGAGATGGTGGAATTAGAAATGAGGGAGGAACCATCGTTGGAGATGGCGTGATAGATTTCAGAGGAGTAGAGAATGGAAACGATGTTTCAATAAATTGAACATGACGAGAGATTATGATCCTATTGGTGTCTCGTTGCAGACACTTATAGCCTTTATAGTTGCTGGTGTAACCAAGAAAGACACACGATACGGAGTTGGGTTGAAGTTTATGTCGTGATTGCTTCGGAAGAAGTGGGAAGCATTCACAACCAAACGTGCGTAGACTGTTATAATCAGGATCCTGGTTGAACATGAGCTTAATAGGAGCTACATTGTTGATCGTGGGAGTTGGCATACGATTAATAAGGTAAGCAGCGGTTAGAACAGCATCAGGCCAATATTCG